GACCGATGGTGCTACCTCGACTGAAAGATGAAGTACCTAGACTGGCCACTTCCAATTGTATTTATCAATTCAACTGCGCTTGTAGAGCGAGTTATATTGGCCGTTGCTCTACGAACTTGATTTTTCGTGTTTGGGATAATCTGCCAGTTTCGCTAAGTAAAGATGTAATAAAAACTATCACTAGTTCGATACTATTTTTTTTATTTTATTTTTGATTACAGCTTGATGCCATACCGTATTTTCAGTACAAGTATGGAATTTGCAGCATGGATATCGGTAGCCCAAACTTACAGGCCGACCATAGATATCGGGTGTGCGCAGGCAGGGGATCGAACCCCGGACCATGTGCATGGTCGGCGAGAGTCCTAACCACTGTGCCACCATCTGGTCCGAACTGATCTGCCACAAAGCCAGCTAGCCCTGAAGAATCCCTCTCTATCATCTACCGCGTGCCAAATAAATTGCCAGAAACGTCGAAGTACCACATAGTCCAAACAGCAGAGGCTATTGGAATTCGCATGAAACAACTATTGCTTTGTGTGCAAAAGAAACAAGTCCAGCAACTACTACTGCCCTGGCAGGCCCTCAGTAGAGACTATAAATTCATGAATTTGTAATATTATTATCCTTCCTAATTTCTCTGTCTGATATTCAGTGTGTATTGTTATGTTGATGCTACTGAACTGTAATCCATTGATATTATTGATTCGATATTATTTGAACAACATCAATGTTGTTAGTAACACTAATTCATTCACTAAAATGGATGCACATAACTGTGGAACCTTATGAACAGCAAGTTATCGAAAAGAATATTCTCCATTCAGTATCCATTATATTTCCATTCAGTTTTGTAGTTTTATTTTTATTTTCTTTAATTTTATGTATCTAGGTATTTATAAAAGGAGCTAAATTGTTACAATATGTATGAAAAAGCCCAAAATTCCATTCTGTATAATTATTATTATTGTTGTTTGGAATACAGTGATTATCATTATTATTTTTCTCTAACCCTTTTCAGTAGGGTAGTTGTAGAATATTTCTAGATATCCAGAACAGGTGTTAAATCATCCCTACTGTATATATTCTCAGTTGGTTTGATCATCAAACCTAGGATTATCGATTTCTATCTCTCTACTCAAAGAATTTGCGCTATAGCAAAAGATTCAACACTTGTTCCAGCCATCCAAAATATTCTTATAATATCAAGATAAATGGAAGAGAAGAGGGGGAGAAACCAAATATGATCTGGTCTATATGTCATCAAAATGCGTGACACTCAAGTGTTGACTAAATCGATTCTTGAAGCTGTTTTCCTTCACGGAGGAATCCTGCTCAGATTGTAAACTATTCTGCGTTGATATTATTATATTATTGTTCCCTTGGGTTCCTAGTGGAACATAGGGCTTCAACTGCACGTCTCCACTTGCTTCTGTCTTCTGCTGTACTTTTCGCCTGCATCCATGTTAGTCCATACTGTTTCAACTCCTCTTCACACGATCTCCTACATGTCACCCTTGCACCAAAGAACCACTCGCCGCTTCCCTTTCGGGTTCCACTCGAGCGTTGGCCTGACGCGCGATGTCACCCAACGGCCTCCTCAGCGAGTGCCCAATCCATCTCCACTTTCTCCTGCATATTTGTTGAGCGATTGGTTCTTGCTATGTTTGTTCCCATAGCTTCTTGTTGGTTCTTGTTCTTTCCGGCCATCTGATCTTGAGTATAGAACGAAGACAGTTGGTTGTTGATAAAGGTCTGCAACAGGCTGTTGGAAATGTTCTTTGTGACCCGCCAAGTTTCTGATCCGTATAGAAGAACTGACTGACTTGACGTTTGTATTGAAAATCCGAATCATTTTGTTGTTGATGCTGAGTTGAGTGACGAAGATTTCCAGATTGGTTTCAGGTTGATGGATGTGTTTTTCGCCCTCCTGATTCTCGATTTGACATCCTCCTCGTCCGTTCCTCCTGTATTTGATACAATGCTCTCTAGATAAGTGAATGAATTAACCTCTTTCTGCGTTGATAGCAGTACCAGAAAATAATGGGTATAAACAAAAAGCAAAACCTTTGAAGTGAAAATGGGACAAAGATAAAACTCCCTTTTACTACTGATCATCTTTTTCATCGAGGGGAACTAGATCATAGTAGATAGTGTGAATTGCGAATGGAGGTTTACATTAGACCAAAAAGAAGACTCTTGAAGTCCCGGACTTTGTGAATGATTTATGTACGTTACCACATAAACTCGAAGACCAATAGGCGAAAACCAACAACTTGTTAGGAGAAGCACCGAAGACCCAACTTCAAGAGAACATAGACAAGACAGAGGAGGTGAAGATACCTGACCAACAACATCAGTGACCAGTCACTGTCAACCAGTGGTTATCTCTCTCACTTACTTAGTGAGGTAGCAGTTTTTGGGTTACAAGTGACACGGTTGAAGATATCAAAGCTATCGGGAATCAGGAAAGCAAGGAAGACATTTATTATTATTTTTTTTATTATAGCTTGATTCCACACATTATTTGTTTTGGTACAAGTATGGAATTTTCAGTGTGTGATATTGGTAGCCCAAATTTAGCAGGCCAACCAGGTGTGCGTCGGGTGGAGATTGAGCCCCGGACCATGTGCATGATTGGCAAGCGTCTTAACCGCTGTACCACCGACGTACACCCTATAAAATCAATGAAGAGATCTATAGCAATCAGTACAAGAAATAAAGTGTGGATATTTAACACCAGTTTGAAGTCAGTGCATCTATTTTGTTCAGAGACATGGCACTGAAGTTACCTAAAGCATTTTGAACAGGCTACTGTAAACTTTTATCTGCGGCTGCTACTGATGGCTCAATAGCGAAGTTCAGATAGATGGCCGGCCAGAAAGGATTAACAACAAGGAACTCAGGTAACGATACAACCAAGAACCTACTGCCGAAACAATAAACAATGCAGAATGGAATGAAGACGGACTGGGCACACACTGAGAAGACCTGAACAGGCCCATAAAAGGGGAATTCCAATGGGGAGCGATGAGATTGTCCTTGGTTCGAAGGTAACATGGAGAAGGAAGAGGAAGACAATGAAAGTTTGTGCGCAGTCGTGGAGCCAGCTTAAAAAGACAACAGACAACAGAGGGAAGTAGAAATGTCCCACTGAACTTCTATGCTTCATTTGGAGCCCAAAGGAACAATAATAATAACAATAATAACAAGAAGATTCTAGTAAATTTCAAAGCTTTCCAAAGATCACAACACGAAAGGCAAAATTGCCCCAACAATATAACTTACATTCTAAACTGCTTATTGGACTTTCAATCACGTGTATTACACCAGTTCCAGACATAACATCTTTACGTTGAATAGGTATCTGTTTATTGCATACATCCGTGATAATTAAATTCCCATCAGATTTACGTTGAATACTAAAATGTGTATCTGTGAGTGTTGGACCAATACGTTTAGTATTCTGAACAATAGCATCAGAGCAAAGCATTTTCTCCATGACATGTTGACGGGCTAAAGCCTCTTTAGCCTGAAAAGAATCAAAAGAAAAAAAAGAAAAAGAAATTCAGTCAAAGACGATCACCAGTAGGAAAAGGCGTCTAGAAGTCAGGGTCTATCACAAAGAGGTCTTGAGTTCAAATATTTTTTATATACAAAACAGTTTACGCAAGAGTAAAGCCTGATGAACATTTGGTTCCCTTGATAAATTTCAATAAAGAAAGGAAGACGAAATTTGCAGTATAAAATGATATCATCGTCATTCTATTTCACAGATTCCCATCAGCTGCACATCACTACTTGAAATTACAATGGTCATATAGATGATAATAACATACTTTAATGTTTAAGTGGTAGTAGAGAAGAAATACCATAAAAATTGATGCATCCAAAATGAAAGCACTACAATTTTTAGTTTAAGTTTTCATCATCAATTTATACGCTTTCAAAGTAGAAAAAAGGGGGGGAGAGGTAAGGCAGAAAACAGAAAAAAATTAACAAACAGTGTTAGCTTGTAGCTTGTTCACAGAGCAACTCAAAAAACAAAAGCGATTACAGTTTATAAGACTGAGGTTTGTTCAGTGGGCTGAGATTACTGAATTAGTTGAGTAATAAACGTAATCGAAGTCAAAATTCAGTTACCAAGGGAGTGAGAGGTTAATCACACTCTCTTTCTGTATGCATAAGTCTGGTTGGTTTGAATCGTTTGATTGCGATCGCTTCGGCAAATCGTAGTAAATTTGCTGTCCTTTGTCTATTTAATATTTTGAAGGACTTAGAAGTCTCTACCGGACATCTCGTAAAGATTTAGTTAGGGTTATAGTTAGGGTCAGGATTAAGGTTACCCAGTCGGTGAATTTTTTGGACCTGGGATATATGGGTAAAAACGTGGGCAGTTTTCCGTTCAAATTTGGGCAAAGTGGGAAAAACTGAGTAATGTGGGAAAATGTGGGAAACACGGAAAAAGTGGGAAGTAGTGTGGGATTACGTTTTTGTAGCACAAACATACTTATAGCTGAAGTGAATCAGGTAAGGCACATTTCAGCTCTAATATAATATAATCTCTATTTATCCATTGGGGTGTTGGATGAAGACAAAGTCTGACTATTTCATTTCAATCATTATGACACGCTTGTTTATGTCACGGTTAACTTCTGAAGCTGCGATTTGTTCGTTGGAAGAGTGGGTGAACGGGGAGAAAGTGGGTAATTTTCGACTTTCTGCACATGGGATATACGGGGGTGAAAACGTAGGTCGTGTGGGTAAACTGGGAAAAAGTGGGACAATTAAATTTTTCGGGACATGGGCAAAGGAGGAAAAATTGGCCAATATGGGTAAAGTGGGCCAACTATTTGCCGATCAAAATTACCCATTTCGCCCACGTTTTGCCCACACTGCCCGGGTGCATTCTCTGACTGGGTTAGGGTTACGATTAGGGATAGATTTATATTTGACATTATTTATTTTAATTTGCTTTGTCATCCACATTTTGCCGGTAAGTGGCCGTCGATTCTCTTTCTGCAAAACCACAGTAATTCAACCGCTGGCTTTTGGGGAAGACTGCAAAACAGGATAAGAGCGATAAACGCACCACAAAAAAGAGCTCACCTTAAGTCACCTCGGTGAATACACAGATACAGAAACTGATCTAACTTAAAAACTGATATTCCTCACTATAACTGAGACGTATTTTTAAGTGATGTGTCATTTTCTTGTAAATAAACGTCACTTTTTGTGTGTAAAAATCAGTTATTTTTGTTATTGGTTGGCTCAAGGTCACTCATGCATTCTCATCCTTTGGGACATTATTGTTGAACTTTGCCTCAAATTGGTGTCTGAACATACTTCTTTTTACAATGATTTCAAGTTATAGATAGAAAGTATGAGCAACAAAATTTCAAAGATGATGTAAGTGAACAATTTATTTAGAAAGACCACATCTAGAAAAGACAGCTTCTGTATCAAAGAAAGCTATCTTTATTAACCTACCATTCAAGGGTGACCAGATTATGCAGTTGACAGCTCAAAGACTTCGGTCAGCCATCAAAGCAACATTCTACGCCGCATCACTTTTTCTCATTTGCCGAACATTTTCGATCCCTGTACCTACGATTAAAGGACGAAATTCTCTGGACTCTACTTCAAACTGTATCTACAAGTTCATCTGTAGTTGCAGTGACACACACCTATATAGGTAGAACCAACAGAATGTTCCAATGTCGTCGGAAAGAACATGTTCCAAAATGACTACTAAATCATATAGAAAATCACAATGCGAGTAATCTGAGTAGAAATCCAGCATCATCCATTTCAAAACACTTATGAATGTCAGGTCACAAAATCAATATTATTAATGACTGTTTCACAATTATTTCACATAACTCTAATTCAAGGTTATTGAAGGTGATGGAAGCACTTCGAATTAATCACATACAGCCTAAACTGTGTGTACAATAGGCTTCAATCTTCACCTACCATGGCCTACATGACCTATCTAAATATGATTGGTCATTAGTATGTATTTTTGCTTTTTATGTAAATGAGTAATTGTCATGAGCTTTATTTTATTATTGTGAACCCTGTTATTTGTGAAGTGGTTGTAAAGAAACTACGAAATGACGATATCATCTCGTGAAATTTGTCTTCTAAATGCCTTATTCAAATTTATTTAGTGTTAAAAGAGTAACTAATTGTATAGTAATTGGACAAAGTGGTGGAATCCCGTTTTTCTCTTGGAAACAAGGATAGATCACAGACAAAATACAAGATAGAACAACAGAGTGAATTTATGCAAATATAATTATACTTTATTTGATCTAATCCACAATGCTCAAACGTTTTACTGATATGAATTTATACATATTATGGTGGAGAGTTCGGGAGGTTAGGGACAATAGTGAAGTAAAATTAGAAAAATGGATAAAATAATTTAATTTACTAGATTTGGACCGTTAATAGTGAGTGAAAAATCAAGAATGAGTGGAATGTTATGTGTGCAACAGAACAAGACACGAAAGCTCGCGAACAAAACAAGTATGGTTAACCGGGTAGTGAGAGACTAGTCACACTAGTTTTCTGTATACACAGGTTGGATTGAAGTCTTTTGATGGTAATGGCTTCTGCCATACCGGAGTAATCATGCTTTTCTTTGTGTACTGATTATTTTGAAAGCCTAATTAATTTCCACTGTATATCCCGTGTCACTCAGTTAGGTGTTGTCTGGTAATCGCATTTGAGAACACTTTGCCGCCTTTCAAAAGAAAACTTTTACGGATATGCTTGGAGAATCTCGTAGACGCTCTCCTCTGATTCTCTCTTGTGTATTTGCTGCCGAAAGTGCAGGTGAGTTGGTAAATGCAGTTGGAGGTGACCTGGGCAGCTGGACACTTATCTACCTTTGACTGGGTTAACGAGCATACTGAGTTGTAAAGTGGAGTGAGTCTAGGGGTGAGAAATGTTCTTTTCAAAGCACCTTTAATTTTGTTTTTCGTTCTTATAGATACTTCTTCGCCTCTCTACTGTAGACAGATAAAAACTGGTTTCTTTTCAAGTATTTCGGGTTTCAGTCTAGGTGGTTCCTCATTCCTTTATTGTGAAACGAACTTCCGAGGGTATCCTTTTTCGATAAGGTTCTTTTCGATGACAGTGAGTTCCTCTTTGATCTTATCTTCTGAACACAATACCCTAGTTCTGCTGAAGAGTGTTTTTACTAGGCTCTGTTTGTAGCCAATCAGGCAAAAACTGTGATAATTGAAGTATTGGCCAGTCCGAGTTTCTTTCCTGTAGATGGATGTTCGATCATTTCTTCTTTTAATGTTGAGATCCAGGAAGTGGAACTGATTGTCAAGTTCATGATCCATTTGCAAATGTTATGTGTTTGTTCTAATATGTATGTTCGCTAATATGTCATATTCCCAAGAAAATATTGATAAACAGTAAAACATTAATGTAACGATGGTCAAGGTAAAGAAAGTGGCTGTAAAAATTTTTTCTGACCACACATGTTCGATTTCTTCAATTGGATTCTGAGGGCTTCAGCTGTAGAAGATGAAGTGTGGTGAGAACTGTCTGCAAGACAAAATTGCCGACAACAATTTACGTCAATATTCACGTCCCGAATCAGGGTCATCAGAAAAGACAATAACAGCAGACTTATCGTGAGCAGACACGATTCGCAGATATTTGACTGAACTGTCTAAGAAACGGCAACAAAGAGATGACAGAATAACCTTGAGCAAGAAAACAACCAATCAGAAGACGTCGCTTCTCTGCTAACAAAAACGCTAATAATAATGTACAGAAAAATCTATAAATATCTGTTGATTTTTTGAATGAACGATCTGTTCTCTTGCCCTTGTCTTCTATTGTTACAATATAACTTACTTCCGATGAACTAATACCCGATGTCATTTGATTCCAAACATTGTTTGGTACAGCAAACACTGTGTACCATTCATCTGAATCCGGTTCATCCAGTTTCCTCTTTAAATCACTAGGTAAACTTTGAACAAATGCTGATAGATCAGGTTCCGCGTTTAAACGCTTCAAAACTGTTGGGTGTTTATAAGTGGGTGGTAAAGCCTTTATAGAAAGACAGAAAAAGAAGAGAGAATTACTGTGAATAGATTTAAGAATAATTTCAAGATATTTTTTTGAGTTTAAATGAACGAACTATCACAAGAATATAAGGCTGAAAGAATTAGTGATTAATTTATTTTATGAGTTCAGCAGGTTTTAGTGGTTTTAAAAGTGGAATGGTGCTTTAGTATACTCAGAAACAAAATTTGATGGTTACTAGCTTGACGTCGTGATTGTGCATGCAAATCACAGTAACAAAACAAGGTGTACTGGTAGGAACTGATGTTCCTGTAGGTCCTACCATAACACAATAGTCGTTTGGATGCTGTTTAGACTAGAAACAGTTACCGTCGTAGTATAATTTGCGTACAGTATGTTTGGGGTCTATCAGCAAAGTTGTATTGTTAGCGAATAGATATGTAACAGCAGCGGCAGCAGGGTGTTTCCCTCAGATGACCAGCAAGCCAGTTATGCTACTTTTCTTCCCTTGAAAAGAAAAGTAATAAAAGGTCGACACCGATGTACATTGTTGTGGTTCACAGTCGGTAGTAATGTCATAATACAGATATAACTACAAAAACCACTTCATGCAGGCCGTATGCGACTGGCCTTAAGTAGTTGTCCAGTTGTCCCTAAATTCAGGCCACATTGAAGCACCTTCCGCTCCAAGTTCTTCGAAAAGAAATCATACTCTGGGTAGGCTATATAACACAGCACCATATTCAGCACTTTAAGTGCTCAGGTATTACCTATTTACCTAATAATTTAAACGTTAAAGGAGGACTTCTCATTCTAATTTTCTGATCAATCACAACTTTAATAGTAACTTTAGAACCTTAAATTACTGCTTTACAAGGATTCAGTTGGTTTCAAATTAAATCTAGAGATTATATTAGTTAAAGAAGCACTAAAAACCACAGAGTAATTAATAGCTTTTTCGTCCTAGTTTGGGTCTCTTCAGGAAAACCCATCTGCCACCTAGCCGGGATCAAACCTAAGACCTTCAGGTTATGAGGTCAGCTGGTCGACCATTAAGCCCCCTTGATGAAATCCAGGGGGACATGAATCCTGACTTCCGACAATTTGCGATATATGTAGCACCAGCGAATATTATCTGCCAGTATTTATACTCAAACTCAACTTGCTTGACCCTACTGGTCACGACTTCTTAGGTGAACTATGGGCTACTTCATCCTGTATCCTGTCACCTGCACTGAACTCTAACGTGTGCATTTCGTCCTATTTCGGTCTCATCTAATGCATGTACGTGCATCTTGAATGACTGATGGTGTTCCCATGGAGACTCAATTTAAAACTGATGTCAACGTGTTTTTATACACTGTGTTTTTATGGCGGTTGCTGATATATGTCGTAGCTGAAGATAATTTACTTCTTTACGGCATTTAGATATCTCTCTTGTTATTTTTGATTGATGGAAGGTAGTTGAAAGCAACTGGAAAAACGCTGTAGTCCTCATCTTCGCGCTTTCAAAACAATCTTTCATACGGCTAACATTTATCTTCGAGACAATTTGATATCAACAAGCCTAACTTTGCCAGTTCATTTTCTGTGATAGACAGACCTCAGCATTATTGATCTGAACTTGAATATCAAATTCATTATGACACAAGAAAACAAACGCTTTAAATAGTACCATAACCAGACATCTCCTCAATACAGATTATGAGGTGGAAGTCGCACATTCTTTTAAAATTATCAGTAGACAAAACAGTTCAGTTCTTCTCAAGTTTGCCGAAGCAGCAATCGCCATCAAACATCTGAAAGTCGATTTATGTGTTCAGAAAGAAGCAGTTATCACCAGCGTTTCCTTGCCCTGACTGGTAACTGGATGTCTTTATTCTTCCTTTTATATGATTACATGATCTTTGGCTTTAACCTCACCCCCTTAATGTAATCTTGCTTGTCTCTTGTTTCGGTGATTTGAGTTGAGCTCAATACACTGTCACCCATTTTATTAGTTACTCATCATCTTACTCATCTCTTGTCTTCATTACGTAACTCCCTTACCATTGTATGCATACGTTGATTTTTTTGTTTAAACTTGAACTCCATGGGTAGAAACTATATAAGTATATTTTTACGAGTTGATCGCGGACTGTTATCAGTTAGAGAACCATTGAAAACCACCACTGGAGTACTGGACAGCTGTTTCATCCTAGTTTGGGAATCATCGGTAGTACCCACCCACTGCCAGGGTTCGAACCCAGGACCTTCCATTTTCAAGCAGGCAACCTCGTAGAACATTCAGCCACTGGGACCCAATTCAGTGGCCAGTCTGTGAGTTCCAACTTCTGCCAATTCGTGATTTAGCGCGACTGGCACCAACCAATGTCATCGGTGGGAACTCCATCCTCACTCCTGACGAGATGGATGTCACTGGTCACGACTTCTCACTAGAATTCCAGGAAAATCTGTCCTGCCGCAAGTCACCAGCAAGCATCAGAGAATATATAAGTATGATTTTCTGATCACTGTTTATTAAACTTGGAGCCGCATGACATCTATACACAGCTAATGAGGAGCCAACAAGATAATTGATGGTACCATCTTATTCTGCATAAACTGCTGTTCTTGCCTAACTCAAATTCAAGTGAATATTTGATAGTGACGTTGATGCAGTATCACAGTTTACTCACTAGTTCAGGCATTTTGTTCAGTGGTTGGAGGCAGTTGGAAGGAAGTCCTGCTTGACCTAGGTTTCGTCCTTGTTGGAACTCATCAGCGAGGCATAACGACGACCTTGATGGAACCGACGCCCTCTCTAAGATTTTAACCCATCGCACCTACTGCTGTTGGAGAGTGAATTCTATCAATTAAATTTACAATGTAGCCACTATGTCAGGTGACTTGCTGTTAATAAGAAGGAATAGACGCGTGACTGTGATTACTTCCTTGATGACCAGCCATTAATAGGAGGGTCAGTCATGAAATCATATAGCTCAGCTGTTACGTTTCTGACTGTAGCACTGAGTGCATTATTATTCCCTTAGGTTCCAAGTGGAACATAGGGCTATTCTCTGCCGTCCTCTTCGGCTGGCCAGGAACACGACTGAGGGTTTTCTCTAGTTTTTCTTTTTCTTTTCAGGAAAACGACTGCCCATAATCTCTCATCTCCTCCTCTATTCACCCTCGCATCAACGACCCACTGGGAGCTTCCTTTTTTGATTCCACTCTAGCATTGGCCTGCATTGAGCGTGATATCATTCGACGATCTCCTAAACGTATGCCCCATCAATCCATCTCCGTTTTCTCCCACATATTTGTTGAGCAATCGGCTCTTGGTTGGTTTATTCCCAGCAAGATTTTATTGCTGCTAATTCTTTCTGGCTAGCCGGTCATTTGGTCTTCAGTGTGGAGCCAGCCAGTGAAGGGGTCAGCTGTTGGCATGAGTCTATAACGTGTTGGAAATCCTTTTTGTCACACACAGTGTAAGTTTTTGACCCTTATAGGAGAAATGACTGACTTTATATTTGTGTTGAGCAGAATCCGAATGTTGTTCTTTATGCTGGCTGAGTCAGTGCAGAAGATTTGCAAACTGGTTTCAGGTTGATGAACGTACATCTTGCGATTTTGGCTGGCTGGTTCTGACATCTTCATCCGTTCCGTCTGCCTAGGGTTGAAACTGTGCTTCCCTCCCATTGATATTGATTGGTGCTGGTTGTTGTTGTTGCTGCTATCGCTGTTGGTTGGTCGGTTATCTTCATCACCTCCGTCTTCTCTATATTCAATTGCAGTCCTGTCTTCGCTGCACGACTCTTCTGCCAGTTTGTTGGTTTTCGCCTGTAAGTCTTCGAGTTTGTGTGACATTTGGCATAAATCATCTGCGAAATCCAGATCTTCTAGATTCTTCTTGTCGGTCAGTGCAGCATATTCCTGTGTTCTCATGCTCAACCTGTCCTCTTAATCGAGCTTACTGCCAGATAAGCGAGGTTTCGCAATGAGAACTGAGGATTCCACGCTAACTACCTATAACCATATGATATCACTTCAAAGCGTATCGCGATAGAAAGCCAGCTTGCTTGATGACCACAATTCAGAGTTGACTGACAGAATTCCTTCAACACCAATACCAAGAACTAGACTTATAACATCAGTAACTGGCAAGTGGTTAGTCAATATATACTTGGTATATGAACCAGTGTTCATCAGAAAACGACTGAATAGCACAGCACAGCACAGATTCATATGATATATATCTACACATATATATTGATGGTATCTAAGTTTTTACAGTACAACTTACTCCATCGATTTGATGAATTAAACCATTTGATGCTTCATGATCTGGACTGAGTAATACTTTACAATCCAAAAAGGTTAACTGAAATGGAATGCAAGAAAACAACTCAAGTATACATTCATAAGATAATAATGATAACTGTAAAATGAATACAGCAAATGAAAGCAGATAGTCAAAATCTCAGTTATTCAGTCTTTATCACAAACCAGAATCAGCCACAGAGAGATAGAGATAACTTTAGAAACCAGAGAGCACTGAACAACTATTTTATATGTGTAAAACTTCGGCACTGTGGTAGTAAGTAATTCTGTATTAGTTTGTTTTTACGAGTTGATCACGGATTGATATCAGTTAGAGAACCATTGAAAACCAGCACTGGACTAATGGACAGCTGTTTCATCAGCCTAGTTTGGGAATCATCGGCAGTACGCACCCACTGGGATTCGAACCCAGGACCTCCCCGTTCAAGGCAAGCTAGCTCGTATACCATTCAACCACTGGGACCCGATTCAGTGACCAGCCCATGAATTATAACTTCTACCAATTCGTGATTTAGCGCGACTGGCACCAACCAATGTCGTTGGTGGGACATCCATCTTTTTATTTTATTTTTTATTTTTTTATTTTGATTTACAGCTTGATTCCACACCGTATTTTCAGTGCAAGTATGGAATTTGCAGCATGGATATCGGTAGCCCAAATTCAGGCCGACCATAGATATCGGGTGTGCGCCGGCAGGGGATCGAATCCCGGACCATTTGCATGGTCGGCGAGAGTCCTAACCACTGTGCCACCGACGCACACGTGGCATCTGGTTGAACCTCACTGGTAACGACTTCTCACTAGAACTCCAGGAAACTCCATCCTGCAGCAAGTTACTAGCGAGCATCAGATTAACCTTCCATAGTTTGGAGCATAAAAACTAGCAAAATCTAAATTAGCTGACCCGAAGGAAATAAGAAATTTGGAGAATAGTTCAGTTATACCACTCACTACATGCAAACTACGATCAACTCGTAAAAACATAACTAACCCTTACAAACCAAATTATAGAAAATTAGTTTGCTTATTAGATATATCACACAGTGAGTAAAATAGTATTATTTATTGGATGACGTTTCGAACAAAATTTATTGTTCATAATCATATCAGTTATAATCACACAACTTCGAAACTTGAGCTTCATAGTTTTCTTTGTCCTCTCCTATTTGTCGTCGTTGGGGTAGTAGAATTTTCCAGATATCTGGATGGACAGGTGTTGAATCATTCCTAATACATGTATTCACACTCAGTTGATTCGATAAACAAAGCTTCTGTTATCAATCTCTCCCCTGTGACATTAGATTTTAAAACTGTCGTTTTACTGCATTCCATCCAATTGTATGCATAGTTGTGTGTAATTGCATGTAGTGAGTGCTACAACTGAACTATTCACCATATTTCTTATCTTACTCGGGTCAACCAATCTAGATTTTGCTAAGTTTTTATGCTCGGCTAGTCTGACTCACTGCCCCTGTTCTACTAGTTTGACCTATGTATTTGACCTGATAATCATCGCAGGCAGGGTATTAGGAAACTAAACTGTTTTGTTTTAAGGCTCCACAGGATCCTCTAACCTTAAAAACCTTACGCAGAGTTCTTGACAAGGCAGGCAATTGGCTGACATTCGAACCACCCACGAACTCAATTAGAAACAAACAAGCTTTGTCGGTTAGAGGATCCAGCCAGTGAAGCCAATTAAACAAAACAATTTAGTTTATCTAATACCCTACTGAACTGATTGCCAGGTCAAACGCATAGGTCAAAGTAGTAGAAAAGGATCAGTCAGAACAGCCGAGCACAAAAAGCTAGCAGCGAAATCTAGATTAGATGACCAGAATAAAATAAGAAATCTGGAGAATAGTTCAGCTAAAGCAATCACCATATGCAGTTACACACAATCAACCATACAATAGAATGGGATGGGATAAAATGACAGTTTTAAAATCTAATGTAACAGGGTGCAGAGAACAAAGAAAACTTTGACACTCAAGTTTCAAAGTCGTGTAATTATAACTGATGAAATGATTGTAAACAATAATAAATTTTGTTCGAAACGTCATCCAGTAAATAATAACACTGTTTCACAGACTGTGTGATATATCTAATAAACAAACTAATATGGAATTATTATTCTATCTTAGATCAAGACTATTTTGGAGATCGCACTCAAAACTCCACCAGGAATCGAACCTGAGATCTCTAGGTTACCAGACCAATCTTGTTGACCGATCACTCAACGATTTGGGCTGGAATTCACCGATCCCTAAATTATTACTTTGTCAAATCGCACCGCGTTCAACCAACACCTTCGACGAACATCGAATTCATCTAGACAATCTGGACCACAGTGGGCATGAATTCCCGATGGAGCTACAGGATATCCATACGTTAGATAATAAGTAGTGAATACGACTCAATGATATAAGAACACAACTTTGAGACTGTGCGATAGAGTATAATTCGATCTGATAAGAGCACAAAGTGATACAGAATTATTTACTGATGACATTTCATGCATAATTTATCAATACTCACAATCTCATATCAAAATGAACAGGAGTCATTCACTAACGCTGTAGCATGTGGTGTACTTTTGACGTGATGACAGGTCAACAATCAAACAGTTAGGCAAAAAAGTGGACTATGAATTATATATGTAAGTTCATGCTAGCTGTCTCAAGTTAAATCTACCGATACTGACTAAATGGAATCACCTGATCACTCATCCACGAATGACAGTCAAAAGAGTAATCGTGAATGCATAGTACTATACATACAGAAGTTAGAATTCACGGGCCATTGAATCGGGTCCCATGAGAAGTGGTTGAATAATTTTTTTGTATGCATAGTTCTGGTTCTTCCAACTGAATGGCTAGGGCTTCTGCAATGCAAAGAAGACGGAAATGTATTGTCTTTGGAAGGTAGTAATCTACAAAGTGAAGAACAACCTGCAAAGACAATACGTTTCCGTCTTCTTTGCATTGCAGAAGCCCTAGCCATTCAGTTGGAAGAACCAGAACTATGCATACAAGAGAAAATTATTCAGCTACTTCCACTCTCATGGTAATGTAAAGAAGACAAGACTGAGGAGACTGAAAGGAATGTTTATTTGATGTCCGCTGACAGTAACAACTCTGTTGATTTGACTTGAATTTTGCCTGTTTGCTTATTTTTCTAAGTACTTAAAACTCTTAATTCCGTGTGTTATTTTATTTCCATGTACACCCTAAGTACAACTCTTTTATCAAACTACTCACATTATTACGTAACTCTTCTTTAACAATCGTTTGTGACAACTCATCACTTTTGTTACAATACCCTCTTATTATTATTATTGTATCCTTCAATTCCTAGAGGAATATAGGGCTTCAGCCGTGCGTCTCCATTGAGTTCGGTTCTCTGCTAGAGTCTTCACCTGGCTCCATGTCCGCCCACACGTTTTCATCTCCTCTTCACATGACCTCCTCCAAGTCACCCACCCTTGCACTGACGACCAACTCGCCGCTTCCCATTCGGTCGGGTTCCACTCAATGGCTTGTCTAGTGATGTCACTTGATGATTTCCTCAGAGTATGGCCAATCCATCTCCATTTCCTTCAGCATATTTGTTTCACAATCGGTTCCTGGTTGGTTCGCTCCCAAAGATCCCTGTTGCTGATCTTTTCTGGCCATCTGATCTTGAGTATTGAGCGAAGACAGTTAGCTGTTGATGGAGGACTGTAGTTTGTTTGAGATGCTCTTTATGACGCGCAGTGCAAGTCTCTGATCTGTATAGTGAGTAGCACTGACTTCACATTGGAGTTGAAAAGCCGGATCTTATTTTCATTTTCATGCTGAGTGCTGTTTGTCGATCTCCACACAGGCTTGAGAGTAGTGAAAGCTTGTCTTGCTTTTCCAATTCTTGCTTTGATATCCTCGTGAGTTCCGTCTGCCTGTAGTTGAAACGATGCTTCCCAGGTAGGTAAAGGAGGTTGTTTCTTTCAGGCTCCGTCCATTTATGCTGATCGTTGTCTGTTGTTGTTGTTCTTGTCCAGGAATCTTCATCACCTCTGTTTTCTCTATGTTCACCTGAAGTCCTATCTTTGATGCTTCTTCTGCTAACTTGTTGCTTTTCGCTTGCATATCTTCCAGTTTGTCGGAAATCAGACATATATCATCGGTGAAGTCCAGATCCTCCAAGTTTGTCTTTGTGTGAGTCCATTTTATGCCTGTTTCCTCATTGCCCGCTGTTTGTCGCATTATCCAGTCTACTGCAATCAGGAAAATCATTGGCGATAGTAGGCAGCCAGCTTGTCTTACTCCTGTCCTCACTTCGAAGGGTTCCGTGAGTTTCCCATTGTGGATTACTTGGCATTCAGAATTGCCGTAGAGCTGTTGGATGAGATATATCATTGTCGGTGGCACCCCGTAGTAGCGAAGTAGTTGCCAAATCACCTCTCGATCGACGCTGTCTGCTGAAGGCCTTTTCAAAGTCGATGAAGTTGAGATAGGGAAGTGACTGCCATTCCAAGCTTTGTTCAACGATGATCCGTAGTGTGGCGATCTGATCAATGCATGACCTGTTTCTCCTGAATCCACCTTGTTCCGGTCGAATTTTTTCATCCAAACCTTGTTTGATTATCTCCAGGATGATGCGGCTTAGTATTTTGCTTGGGATGGACAGGAGCATGATTCCGCGCCAGTTCTTGCTTTGACTTAGGTCTCCTTTCTTTGGTAGTTTGAATAAATATCCTTTCTTCCAATCCTCGGGTACTTTGCCTTCTTTCCACACTTTCTCCAGTAGTGGTGTCATCAAGTCCGCTGTTGTCTCTGGGTCCATTTTCAATGCTTCTGCTGGGATTCCATCTGGTCCTGCTGCTTTTCCAGCTTTCAGCATCTTGATTGCCTTCAGGACTTCTGATTTCGTCGGGGGGTTGGTGTTCACTGGTAGCTCTTTCTCCGTCGTTGGTATTGTTGGGCGCGTTGTGGGTGGTGGTCGATTTAGGAGTCTTTTGAAGTGTTCAGCCCAGTGTTTCCTTTGCTCCACTTCTTTGGTGAGTG